ACCAAACCAAACCAAATGTGGTCGGATTTTTTTTTTCCCACACCAAACCATAGTCAGATTTTTTTTCTCGGTTTGACTCGGATTATCGAATTGGTGCGGTTTGTCGGTTTCATTTATACACCCTTAATCAAAACTAGGAGTGTACATGGATCAGGTTGGTTCGATTTTATTAAAACCAAACCAAACCAACTATATCGGGTTGGATTGGTTCGATTTTGTCTGATTTTTCGGATTTTTTTGTTACATGAATATTATTTCAATCTTACTTTGTTAAACTTTTTATAAGTAAATATAAGCTTAGTAAAAATTGAAAATATTGACAAATATATGATCAATTAGAAAATATTTATGGTAGAATTTTTTTAATAACACATGATAGTTATTTTTTTAGTCGTCTGACAATAATTTTTTGTTGATGTATACTTTCAAGGTTAAACGAATTTAATAATTAAACATAAAAATTAATATGATACCTAATTAGTGATAAGTTTTATTTAATTTTAGATTATCGAAATACCACTTCAAATTTGAAAAAGATATAAAAATTTAATAAATCTTGACATATGAACATGGAAGAACAAAGAAATTGATGCACTTCAATAACACTTGATAAGAAAGTGATCATATAACCCATTATTTAAGGTTAATAAAAATGGAGTACTTCATGTTCTATTAAATATTACATTCCATAAGAGAATCCCAAATATTTCTAGAATTTTTGTAAACAAAATTCTATATAAAGTCTTAAAAGTATATATAAAAATTATATATTTATATGTCGGATTGATTCAAATTTTTTTACTCAATACCAAACCAAACCTAATTGGGGTTTTTAATGGGTTTGATTTGATTTTCAGTTTGGCGTAGGTTTCCGGTTCGATTTGTACATCCACACACAAATTGACCATTGTGTATATCATTGAAGTATTTCTTGATCCTTTACTCCTAATGTTTTCTTTCGAAGGTTTGCAATAATAAACATTTTATATCTGACAGCTAACAGCTTGTTTGGATGGTTGTTACATATCGTTTCATAATGTATCGTATCGTATTGTATTGCATTGTACTGTATTGTTGGATGGATACAATGTTTGGATGGATTGTGTCATTTGCCGTCGTTTCATGGTATCACGCACCAGTAACATGATGAATAAACTTGCAGTATTATAAAGAAAAATTATGATACAGTATATAAAAAGGTAGGGTAAATGATAAAATAAATTATTTAATAATAATGAAGAGTGAGATTGAGAGAAAAACACAAGGAAACGACGCGATCACGCCAAATCGGTCGTTACATAAAGTAGCACATTTCATCGTTACGTAACGATGTATTTAACGATACGATACAATAAAATTTAAGTAACAATCAAAACAAACATTGTATTTAACAGCTTGTTTGGATGGTTGTTACATATCGTTTCATAATGTATCATATCGTATTGTATTGTACTGTACTGTATTGTTTGATGAATACAATATTTGGATGGATTGTGTCATTTGCCGTTGTTTCATGGTATCACGCACCAGTAATATGATGAATAAACTTGCAGTATTATAAAGAAAAATTATGATACGGTATATAAAAAGGTAAGGTAAATGATGAAATAAATTATTTAATAATAATGAAGGGTGAGATTGAGAGAAAAACACAAGGAAACGACGCGACCACACCAAATCGGTCGTTACATAAAGTAGCACATTTCATCGTTACGTAACGATGAATTTAACGATACGATATAATAAAATTTAAGTAACAATCAAAACAAACATTGTATTTAAAGTAACAATACGATACGATACAATATATAACAACCATCCAAACAAGCTGTAAGATTTGAGGTAGATCACGATATAATAATATAAAAAATCTGAGTTGGAGATAGTAGATGCAATGCAATGTTTATAGGGAATTTACCAGTTATGTCAACCCACAAGCAAGTTAGTACAAAAATTAATTAATTCATAAAATATTACCAATATTAGCCAATTAGTTATTTATAGCAAAAGAAAAATCAAAATTTTGCTTTCTTTTGAGTAGGTGTTATTGGAATAGATTGGATGTGTCTTAAGGAGTTTAAATCTCAGTTTTGGGATGATTTGGTAGAGTTTTGAGGTGGTTTGAATTAAAAATTCGAAGTAGAAGATGAACATGGAAAAAGATGATATGTATATCACACAGTGTATCATTTTTGTATCGCATATGTATCATATTTGTATCAAATGTGTATCACATGTATATCCAAGTATACTTGTATGTGAGATACATGTGTGATACGTATTTGATACATGTATCACAGAAGAATTTTTTGGACTCGATTTTAAATACGAATTTTTATACCAAATCAGTCCAAATCACATCTAATCTTCTTCAAATTTTGTATATTGATTCATCCATATGTTTTCAATGAATTTCAACCAAAGGCAAATGTGGTGTACTATAGACGGGTTCAACTAAACCCAATACTTTCGACGCAGGATAAAAATTTATATGTTAAAATTCAAGAAAATTACAAAAATAGTAGATATGAACCCATAATTTTAAAAGTATAATGGGTTCAACGCCAAAAATATTAAAAGTTGAACCCATAGAGTTTATAACCTAGATTCGTCTCTGATTTCAACCATATCCATTGAAAAATGTCCCTTTTATTTTAGATTTTTGGAGTCTTGTATCTATTTTTTTGTATTTCATTACCTTGTTTGTCATCTCATCCATGAAATTTTCTTTCCATCTTAAATCTAATGTTGTTGATCCCGCTTAAAAATATGGAAGGAGATCTTGTGTGTGATTCTTGGAGAGAGAATTCTTATTTATTTGGTTCTTCAATTTTTGTTTGCATTTGGCTAGTTTTGGTAAGTCTATGATTAATGGTTAAAATTTAGTAAGCTAGAACTTATTTGAGACATTTCCGTAAGATTCCCATATTTATATAAAAATTGCACAGGGCGCCCCCATTTAACCTATACCCATATTTTTAAAATTATTTAACCTATACCCTAATTTTTACAACTTCAGGCGCCTCCTTCTTCCTGCTACCTTTACACTCCTTTCTTTGTTAGTCTCTTAGAACATCTTGTTTTTAATAATGTGATACTTCGCTTCATCATTTGTATTTGTGCGGATGCTTACATCACAATGCTTGGGGTGAACTGCTTTTCTCTGTGCTTTTCATGTTTATTGTTTGCAAAATTTATGATTTAGATACTGTTGGCAATCTGATTATTTTATAATAGTATTTTACTATGAAAGAATAAGGTGATTATTTATCTAGTATGTTAGAAAGCTTTTTCAAAAACTTTAGCTTGTATAGCGCTGAAGTTTTTACAAATGAACTAAATAACTTCAGCAACTTCTGCTGAAGTTTTTGAAAAAAGCTTTAGGACAAAACTAATGAATCCAGGACAAAAAAAATTAAGCTTATTTATTACTGAAGTTTTTACAAATGAACTAAATAACTTCAGCATCTTCTGTTGAAGTTTTTGAAAAAGCTTTATGACAAAACTAATGAATCCAGGACAAAAGGCTTCAGCTTATTTAGTACTGAAATTTTTACAAATGAACTAAATAACTTCAGCATCTTCTGGTGAAGTTTTTGAAAAAGCTTTACGACAAAACTAATGAATCCAAGACAAAACTTCAGCTAAAACATGCTGAAGTTCAGCAAATAGAGAACAAAACTTCAGCTAAAACATGCTGAAGTTCAGCAAATAGAGAACAAAACTTCAGCTAGTAGAATGCTTACAAAAATGGTAGAATGCTTACAAACTTCAGCTAGTTTTGTCCTGGATTCATTAGTTTTCTCGTAAAGCTTTTTCAAAAACTTCAGCAGAAGATGCTGAAGTTATTTAGTTCATTTGTAAAAACTTCAGCACTAAATAAGCTGAAGTTTTTTTTTGTCCTGAATTCATTAGTTTTGTCATAAAACTTTTTCAAAAACTTCAACAGAAGATGCTGAAGTTATTTAGTTCATTTGTAAAAAGTTCAGCACTGTATAAGCTGAAGTTTTTGAAAAAGCTTTCTAACATACTAGATAAATAATCACCTTATTCTTAGATAATGTATTACTACTATAAAATAATCAGATTGCCAATAGTATCTAAATCATAAATTTTGGAAACAATAAACGTGAAAAGCACATAGAAAAGCAGTTCACCCCAAGCATTATGATGTAAGCATCTGCACAAATATAAATATAAATGATGAAGCGAAGTATCACATTATTAAAAACAAGATGTTCTAAGAGACTAACAAAGAAAGGAGGAAGAAAGGAGTGCACAGGTAGCAAGAAGAAGGAGGCGCCTGAAGTTGTAAAAATTAGGGCATAGGTTAAATAATTTTAAAAATATGGGTATAAGTTAAATGAGGGACACCCCGTGCAATTTTTACTTTTGTGTCTCCTCGTCCTCCAGAGTGGGATCGGCATCTGTCCTTCAAATTTAAACATTTGCTTGGGGAATGTTGCAGCAAGCATCAAGTCAAGCAGATGATAGTAATTCTTTTCCACTTTAGTCGAGATCAAGAACTATTTGGTTACAGATAGAAAGAAATTTAAGTTTTTAAAATTAGTCAGTGAAATCTCAACCTTTTCTAACTAAATAAAATTTATAAAAAAGTTGGTATTTCATAGTGAGTTAATACTTTAAATAAGTGGGAAGTTTATTTGCAGTTTTGACAATTCTGCTTAGCCAAGAAGAGACCATGTTAACCAAACCTCAGGTTTTAGTGCATGGACAAAGGAATTTTTTTAAGCTATTGAAAGTGTAACATAGAAATGGTTGAAATTTTGAAAGTTCCTTGATGCTTGCCATAGACTCTATCATTTAGAAAGAAAGGGTTGTGGCACCCAAGGTTATGGACTAGTGCTCAATAAGGTAAAAATACTACTCCATGTCATTTCTTCCTATCTGCCTAAGATTATCAAAAAGTAGAAAAAAAGAAGGTTGTCCTCCATCCTGCTGAAGAAAAGAAATAGAAATATGGTAAACTCAGTCCAAACTGAAGAAGACAAGAAAGCCTTTTTACTGCAAGAATATGATTACACCATTACAAATGCAAACATAAAGGCGCTAGTGACACAGTCAGATGCACAAGAGATTCAATTCAAGTGCATACATACAGTTATAAATGCCAAACTTGCAACATGGCAGCATTTAGAAAACTTCAGCTACCTTGGTCGCAAGAATGCGTTCTCGTCTTTCTACATACCCAAATGGGAACCAACCTGCATTCCCCTTGCACTCACCTTCAGCCCAACCATTGTTTGACACCTTTTCCGGAAACAAATAAACCAATTTCAGAAAGGGGAAATAATCTCAAACAACCAGTGATCACTTTTGCCAAAGAAGATCAGAATACACAACATAAATGATGCGAGTGTAACAAAATTGACATTGCATTAAGTGAAGAACCGGCAAGTAATCCATTCAGAACCTCTTATAACGGGATCCTTCAGGAATTATAACAAAAGAATTTACCGAAAATGGGTACTCAAAAACTGTAAGCTAGTGCTAGACAACCATGACTATACATAATTACCAGTTGAAGAAAGCATGGTGCTAATGCTAAGTACCGTATTCCAGATGCACCATGGCAGTAGCAAAGCCAGGAATTTACTCAAGGGTGTTTAAACTTGAAAGAAGTGAAAATATTCTCCGAGAAAGAGTGTTCAATATATGTTATATACCTCTAAAATCTAATATTTTACATATATACGCAATGTAATTTTCTGACGAAGGGTGGTCAGTTGACCACCCTTTATAGCATGTAGCTTCGCCCATGCACCATGGTCACAAAAAGTTCATCAACTTATCAGAATGGATAATGATTTTCTGTCAACCAGATACTCATGCGGAGGGGTTGGAGATTTGGGGGTAGGGTATTCGCATGTACTGTGACAACGAAGCATCAGAAAGAAAAATATTACTGATAACATTAGACAGAGAGCTAAGCTTACTTTTCGAACAACTACATAGTCACCAACTGATAATGTGAGCTCTATGTCTGACTCAGCTTCATATGGGTGTACGACCTGCAGTAAGAGACGTATAAACAAATAAAAAGCTAGAATTAAGTAAAAAACACAGAGAGTAATCCATCATGTTTATTGATTCATAAGAACGCGAGAGAGAGGCAAAGTAACCATCACCTCAGCCAAGAAATAAGTTTTCCCATCTATGGATCCATCATATGACTGAGAAGCAAGTCCACCATTAACTTCAGTATAAGCTGGGGGAGGAGGCATCGGATTATAACTAGGAGATGCTTCAATTCTTTGACGCTCTGGCATCATCTATGCACTCAAAGAGCATACATCAATCCCCAACATTTAAAAGTGATAAACCAGTCAGGAGACTAGATGTAAAACTACTAAGATACGGCCAACAATTTTGATAGAGAAAGAGCGCACCTCTACCTCAAGCTGATCAAGGATTTGCAGAACTCGCTGATGATAATGACGCTGTGCCTCAACCTTGAACAAGAAATGAATGAAGGCGCTTTCTATGGAGATCTCTGATTGAAAAAGGAAATAACACTGAATTACAGTAGTAAAACGAAACAAGTATTACCATGGCTACGAGCCGTTGGAGTGTTAACCTCTGTTGTTGAGCTTCAACAGCAGTCATGGCAGCAGAAGCTTCTTTTCCCAAAGTAGTCATGTTTGACTTTAGGTCCTTAAGTTTTGCTTCAGCAGCTTCCAGCCTTGATGCACTTTCAGGATTACCATTGGATTCCCTCAATTTAGCCTGTCGTCTGGAAACTTCGATAGCCTGATTTATTCCAAAGAAGGTAGGCATAACTACAGAAATTCAAGATATAATGCAAGTAACTCAGTGATACATGACTAGATATCAATTTATAAACGATAAGTGGCAATAGTTTAGTCAATCAGTCAAATAATGAACGACGCCTTAGTTTCAAATATTAGCTATAGTTTAGTGTGAGCACGTGATTTTTGCTTCACGAGACAATCGCTCCAAAAGAAATAAAAAATAACAAC